TAAGAATAAGAAGAAGCTGAGCGTCTCACTTAGTGAGAAAATGAATGCAATTATGATGAGCTCAAGGGTTTGTACATCCTAATAACATAGTGAATTAGTGGAAAAATTATAATTACATGCGGAGTCTGGACGTAACTTGCATCTGGACTTCATTGAAAGGAGCCCAAATCGCCAATAAACATTATGTGCAATTTTGCACACTGTGCGTATTAATACGTACAATGTATACATCGACGTGACTTTTTCCAATTGGAGTCTGGATGCGTCTAGAGTCTAGACTCCACATGTAATAATTTCTCAAATTAGTGATCCTATGTGGTGTAAAATTTTATATTATTTAAAAATTATAATTATTTTTTAATTATGAGTAAAAAGGTATGCTAGATAGTAACATTTTTTTATTTTCATATTATAATATTCATTATGGAAATCTTTATAGTATAAATTTTTTTTAATAATCATGAATATTATAGAAGTTTTATTTACTAAGGATTCGTTTGAGACAGCTATTTTAAAGCTTTCAAAAGTAATTTTTCTAGTATAAAAATTTCTAATTCAAAATTTTTTTTACTAAAAAACTATTTTAGAAAGCAGTGATAAAATCAACCCAAACAAAGCCTAAATTTGAGTTAGATAATTTTACCCTCTCTCATAATCCTCAATTGCTTACATTAAATCTAATTTAAAAATAACTCAACATAAAAAGATGAGAAAATGATGGTTTTAATCTTTTTTTTAATCAAATGGAGAAATTATATAAATAAAATAAAATAATAATAATGTTTTGTTTTTTTTAAGATTTGAGTTTTATCATAAATAAATAAAAATTGAGTGTTAATTTTCTTAGGCATTACTGTGAAATTAGAACACTAATCTTATGATAATTATGTTGCCTATATAATTAATTTATTTGTTAAATTTAATTTAATTGCAGATTGAAAAGAAAAGGATTGGACTTATGGCCAAGTTTCTCTCTGTGATTGGAAAACGTAGTTGATGAAGCAGTAAGAAAGCTATTCCAAACGAAGCGGAAGAAATTGGCTTTTCAAGTCATCTAAGCTCTCCATTTGGAGGAGTATTTATATATAACCTCTTCACTTTGAGTTGAGCAATTTTTTTATGTTTGGACGACTTCGAGAGTAGATTGATGTGTCGAGTTTAAATAATCATATTATTGAATATAATATAAATTTTGTCAGAGTTTATAATATAATAATATATTATAATTCAAAGATCTAAGTGCAAAGTAATTTCAATACTTATAAAAATTATATCTTCTTTATATCAATTTATTTGCTTTTACTTCTCTCATAAATTCTCACTTTTTTTATCTTTTTTAGTATAATAGATGTTTGAATTGAATCATCTTTTTAATCTCATAATGACTAAGTCAGCTCGTGAGCCAACTCAAATTGATTTTTTTATCTTTTTTAGTATAATAGATGTTTGAATTGAATCATCTTTTTAATCTCATAATGACTAAGTCAGCTCGTGAGCCAACTCAAATTGATAAAAACTTGATTAATCAACTAAGTTTAAAGGGGTGGTTTAGTCTCAATTTGACTCATCAGTTAAAATTTAATCTAAAATTTAAGGCAATACATAGCTCCTTAATAGAAGTAGCTCATCGAAATACCAAAATAAATTTTACCATAAAATTTAGGCTTTGATTGGGGCAGCTTTCTTGCTGCTTTACGGAGTAGTTTTTTAGTACAAAATTTTTAAATTGAAAATTTTTTAAAATTTTTTTTGTACTAACAAATTGCTTAATAAAGCAATACGAAAGCTGTCCCAAACGAAGCCTTAATCACCTTGCTAGCAAGGGATTGACCCTCAAGGACCTTCTTGAGTCAAAATTATGATATTTGCTATAAGAATGTACCATAAAATTTGAACCAAGAGCATATGCATACCCTATAATATAATATTATTTGTGTGAATTTTAAAATTAATAATTTATTTATTTAATTAGTCATTTCATACATGTGAGTTACACATAGTCTTAACTAAAATATATGAATTATACTCCACACGTTCGACGTCTTTTGAGCCATTATCAACGTTAATTAATCAAGTAAAGTGTATTGAACATCCATCAGTTATGTAAAATAACCTCCAAACCACCACGAGTAATATTGTCCCCATCAGACCTTTTCAGCTCATGTCTAAAATGTCAAATCTCATTAAGAAAGGGTACGCATTTTCCTTAAACATAATATCATTTTAGTATACTTAATTAGGATATCTAATTAGAGGTAAAGCATAGTTATAAATTAGACTCTCATGTGAACAAGAAATTATTCTATGTGGACGACAAACGCAGCTCTACATCTGTAGACCAACCTGAACGAGTCACGTTAGCAATATCAAGCGATACCAAGCCATGGTACTGAGCGGTACTGAGTAGTATCGAGCCACGGTACCGACGTGGTTCATTCTGACTGGTCTCCGGACCACCCTATATATTAAGTAGACTAAATTCACTTAGTTGACTCATGATGATGAAATCATAGAATATTAATCAAATGAACCACTCATTCCTATTCAGCACCATCTATAAACTAAAATTCAAAGCATTCTTGATTAATTAAAACAAGAGCAATATTCTCAAGTTAAATTCATGGAAGCTTACAACCATGGAAAACGTTGATCCCTCAAGTTAAAATTATACCAAAGATAACTCACCTTATGTAAAGGAAAAATCATTGAGAAAATAAATAAATCTTATTTATAGGAAAAAACTTTGTTAAAACAAAATAATTTTAACATGAGGGATCTTAGGCAAGAAAGATTACCCACACTCTTGAGTGCTTTTAGAGCCCTCATTGTGTTGGGACAAATGCCCAAAATATGTAAACCTCATCATATATATAGTAATGCTTAAAAGAATGCATAGATAGTCTTTGTGTGGGATATCTTTTAAATATTAAAAAAATTTATTGGTAGTCATATTATATGGTCATGCTCCATGCCCACTCATCTTCCATCTATGATATATTTTAAATATTAACCATTTTTTCTTATAATTTTCTCTCATTATATTCCCCTCTTCAGAAGGAACGACTCCATTTCTGCTTATCTCAATAAATAGAGCACTTAAAAAAAACTTGGAATGTGAGCTCGTAACAACAAATATCTTAAAGGGATCGTCATCTTAGTCTTAGCTTGTTGTAACACTATCACATTATTTTGGTGGGGTTTCATGAAGTTAACAACATGAAAATTACTTGATAAACAAATTATATACACACGCGTGCGCACACACATCACTACTACTAATGTTGTTGTTGTTGTTGCTTCTACTATTTTTCTGGTTGTAGACTAAAAATTTTATGGTGGTAGAGTTAGAGAATTTGCATCCTAACTTTGCATGAAAATTTAAAACATAAATAGATAAATGAAAATAGTATATGTAACACCAGGGTTTTTACGTGTCAAACCTCAAATTGGAAAAAGTCTTGAAGCTCTTTTGAATCTTTAGTCAAAAGTCTCATTCATGTAAAAAGTGGGAGCCCATTTATAAAATTTTGAGAGTGACATGCTTCATAAATATGAAGAAAATCTGGATGACACATATTGATTCTCTTAATTATATATCATTCATTTAGTATCTAAGGGCCTTAATGTTGTCAGAATCAAACTATTTTTGGCTCATTAGATTCATCTTGTAGAAGTCACTTGATCTGACAATAAACACTACAAATTGGAGATCATGTGTTCCTTTATTTAATAATCTAAAACTTTCAACTATACATCAAGGTCTTGATATGTGCTTATTTGAACTTAGTTGAATCAATTTCTGTGTCATTGAATTGTCAAGCCAATCAGTTCGACTATAAGTTTGTTGAAATTAGAGTTTGAATAATTTTGAATTATATTTTATAAAATTTCAATTCAAATGTGCATCAAAATACATATATGATTAAGCCGATTTTCGTTGACATATTATTTCTTAGAAGTTACATTAGAGAAAATCAAACCACCTTTCAAATACTCCAAGTCAATTTAAAAATTTCCAAAAAAATCCATATTCCAATTAATTTGAATGTTTTTTTATAAGAAAATGTTTGTATGTAATACTCTCTGTATACATAATAATGCTTTGCAATAAAAAAAAAATCTCTAAGTGAAAAAAAAAAATATGTTACTCATTGATTAAAGGAGATTGTATATTTAAGATTTAGAACTAAAAAAAATAAGTTAAATATTAAGGTTGAGCTTTGCAAATATATTCTTTTGAAGGAGTATAGTGGAAAAAACCACCAAAAGGCCAAAGCTACCAGATTTGCCACAGGCCCACAATCACCGCGCTCCCGGTTCCTCGCCAATTCCCAGCCGATCTCCCGCGTTGCCCTAATCTAATCGCCGTTGTGCTTCATTTACTCGCCCGCGCCTTCCGATCGTTTCCGCAGTCCTCGCAGCCGCCGCTTCCCTCATTCACTAAGGTCAACTTCCCGATCTCCCCTTATAGATTATCAAACGGTCAATGTTTCTGCGCTTGTTAATTGATCCATTGATTACCATTTCGTTTTTACTCATTGAAATCTCTCTCCATTCCATGTTCTTCTTGATCTAACAGTACTGATTATGGGATAGGCAGGGCTTGAACTTAAGTTGAAGACATGGATAAAGTTAGTATATTTAGCATTGAATGCATGTACCTCAAAGGCCTAGGTGCATTGTCAGAAGAGGGCAGATTTCTTTCTAGTTTAGCATGAATGGATTGATAAAACTCTTGTAGTTTTAAATCTATTTGAAGGTTTTGTCATCGATGAAGGAGGATTATCATTTTTGCTGGTTAGCTCTCCAATGGACTCTTTTATAAGGATATCTGAGTATTTAAGTTTGGTTTGATTGATCTGCATTTTCAGGCCTATCATGAATGAAATGCTGGACTTGGTTTATGAATCTTTCGAATGCCAAATGAGTAGTTGTTGGACTTGAAGTAGCACAATGGACAAAATCGGTAGAATCCCTCACTGGTTCCATTTTCATTTTGAATGCTGGATGGTCATTATCTCATAATTTGAAGAACAAACAGCTGAATGAAGCATGGGTAAGGTTTTTTAGAGCATTATACCTGGACAATGTAGATGAAGAAGTCATCTTCAAATTTCCTACTATACCATTAATTTACACATGAAGCCGGCTTGGGGTTTGTTTGTGCAGTTAATCTTTTGCAGCAGAAGGCATATTCTATAAAAGCATAGGGCAGTACTATGTTTAGTCCACATTGGAGTGTTGAAAAATATGTTGTTGTACAGTTGTACTAGTACTTCTAATTAGCTCTTACCCTTATGTTTAAGTTTTGGGATTGAAAGTTGATTTGATTGGTGGCATATAGTGCCAAAAATTTGGTTCCTTTTGATTCACACTCCTAATAATTAGTATTAGAGTCGATAATTTGATTGTGATAGAGTGGTTCATTCGATTTGTAGGCGGAACTAGCCTTTAGTGCTTTTTATCATTGTTGAGCATGGATCAAAAGAAGGTGATTGGCACGTAATTTTATGTGGCTTGCCAGTTGCCGGCTATTGGTGCCTTTTACTTTATGAAAATGCTTTTATTTGGGGAGTGATGAGAATGCTTCTATAAGTATGCTCTAATGCAACCATTTTCTCGCCCATTCTTTGTTTGAAAATTGTCAAATTTACCGCACTCTCTAATATAGTCATTTTTACTCTACCCTTGTTTCTTTCACAACATATTCCTCGTATCATTATTAATTCTTCGACTCTCCATTTGTTTATTAATTATTTGGTTTAACACTCAGTTCCATGAATCCTACCTGATATGATTGGAATTATGCATAATATGACCTGTAACCCCCTTAATATTTCTCTTATTACATGCATAATACTCTTGAAACTTTTCTTTATGTTAATAATCAGATTAACTCTAGAAAATAATTCCTCTTCTTTATACCTAATATTCAGTATAATAGAGACAAGATTCTTGAGACCTATCACACTTTGGTTTCATTTGACATTCTAACCAGATTGATTGATAAATAGCAATTTCACACCCACTAAAAAAATTTCATGTCTTCTAGTCTTTATTTTACTAATCCTATCCTCCTTATATTCCATAACTTTTATTCATTGTTCTACCCTTAACTTATTTTTGTAGAAATCTTATGATTATTACCAGTTAAAACTACTCCGTATGCAAATAGTATGTGTATAGGAACCTTAATTTGAATAACATTATTAAACATCTCCATAACTAACACAAAAAGTTACAAACTCAAAGTTAGTTCTTTATGCAATCCCATTGATTGAGAAATCTTTGTTCACATTACAACTCTCAATGCTCGTCAATACTTCACCCTGCATATTTGTAATAACTTCAACATAACTTTTTTGTATATTTCTTTTTCAATGTACAGTAGAGCATTTCTCATAATATTTAATCCTATAAGGCTATAACTTCTCAAAATCTATTAAAATAAAAGAAGGTCCCTTCTTTGCTATCTGTACTTATTTTATTATATTGCCTTTATACAAAAATCCCTTTTATAATAGATCTACTAGGGATAAAATCAACTTCATTATCTGAATAAAACCAACTTCATTACTTGATTACTATGTGATATTTCTAAAAATACATTCTACTACCCTTTTTTGTAACTCCATGGTTTCATCTTTGTCTAGGATCCTTTTATCTCTGGCTCTAACCATTTTATATTTCTCATATTCTCCTCAGGACCTAGCCTATTTTATATGTATTTGCATTCTCTTCTAAAATGTCTTTTGATCTTCTTATACGTGATCATTGCTTTCATTAGTGTCTGTGAACTCCAACGTGAGGATTTGATGTTGTATGTCAATCTTTATATCATATGTTGTGTCAAACTACAGGCAACTTGATATATGAGAAATATATTTTAAGAGAAACTTGTGAGACTGAGCTGTACAATAGAGGTGTAAACGGAAAGAAGAGTTCTTTTTTTCCCAGTTTCATCACTTTCCCCATTCTATGATGGTAACTATTAGAAGATCCATAGCCTACACTATTTTATGATGAATAGCGTGAAGAGCTTCGAGGGGGGATTCTTCTGTTCAGTCTCTTTCATTAAAATTTAAGTGGTGGATAGGCACAATGTGGTAGTATTATGTGACTCTTTTTTGCTCTTTTATCTTTAGATATTTCAATTTCTTATTTAACATGTTTTCTGAAATACTTTTTTTACTAGCTTGGTGTGATATATTTGTTTCAACTATATGAGTCATTGCTATGTGTACTTGCTCAAGCCCTTGGGCCACTGGTAAATTGAGGCAACAAATTTGTGATGCCAGGCTATCACACCAAATAAATTAGATTACTTGCAAGCAACAGGTGGAAGGCTCTTGATGTGTCGTACAACGTATTTGCAGGCTGAAGTACACAGCTGCGAGCTGAGTACTGAAGAAAATAATAGCTTGCAGAAGAAGAAACGACCTAAACAACGTCATCGGATCTGTAACAATTATACAAGCAGATATAAGACATTTGTAGATTCCAAGATGAAACCTTGCGCACTTACAGCGATAGTCATTTGCATAGCTGGCTATAATTGAATATTGCAATAACACCCTCTTCATGCATCGTGATGCATACCGATAAATTCATAGCATGCATACATTTGCAATATGCATGATGCATCATGCAAATGAGTCACCCAACATGCAAAATACGCAATGACAAATTACATTAACATGCAAAATGCATCATGCTTGTAAATGCACCAATGTACAAAATGTACTATGCAAGTGTACGACACAGGCTTATCATTACTGCATCTAGTTAGGAATGAGTAGACATATGAATGTACTAGATGCCTACACATTACATCATACAATATACATGTTGCAATGCATCGTGCAAACACAAATGTATTTTCTTTAATGCTCTATTCTTTTGCCTTCAAATAGGCATGTATGTACTAACATAAAAACAAGGAACTAAAGATTTAGCATTTTATATTTTCTACAATTACATTGCCTGTGCCAACTTATCATTTGGGCCTACTCACTCTTTTTTTTTTTTAATTCCTTGTTGGTTTTCCATATAAAAAGTATGTTGATACATAAATGTATGTGCTCAAAATCCTAAAACTAAAATAACTGTAAATCTCCCTTGCTCTTGATTCATAGGAAATTTCTTCCAGCATGCAACAGTTGGCTACCTTTTTTCCTTTTTTTTTAATGAATGATAATCAATTTTGTCCTAAGTTCGAGCAATTCAATTGATGATGTTTATTCTGTACAACTTTTTTATCTTGTCTTTCCCTCATCCAGTTCTTCGCTAAGTTGTTGGATATCTTCCTCCATCTTCCACAATAATGGTCAGAGGAAGAGATGCTTGTTGGGAACACTGCGTGTTGGTTGATGCTACAAGACAAAAAGTTAGATGCAATTATTGTCGTCGTGAGTTCAGTGGAGGTGTCTATAGAATGAAGTTTCATCTTGCCCAAATCAAGAACAAAGACATTGTTCCATGCACCGAAGTTCCAGATAATGTAAGAGATTTAATTCATAGCATTCTCAGCACTCCAAAAAAGCAGAAAACAACTAAGAAACAAAAGATAGAACAGGCACCTACTGGTCCACCACATAGTTCCTCTGCTAGTGGTGGATACCGTGGATACCACGCCGATAATGCTGTATCGAGCGGCCAACATGGCAGTACCTGCCCCTCCATGTTACTACCTCGCCCATCGCCAAGTGTACAGCCCACGGCGGATGATGATAAGAAGCAGAAATTTAATGAAGCTGATAGAAGGATTGCTTTGTTCTTCTTCCATAATTCAATTCCCTTTAGTGCTGCACAATCAATTCATTATCAGTCCATGATTGATGCAGTTGCAGAATGTGGGGCAGGCTATAAACCTCCGAGTTACGACGGGTTTAGAACAACACTTCTAGAAAAAGCTAAGATTGATATACTTGAAAACATAAAAAAATTAAAGGATGATTGGAAAGAAACAGGCTGCACTATTTTCTGTGACAGATGGTCAGATGGTAGAACCAAATCACTTCTAGTTTTTTCAGTGGCATCAGCCAAAGGCATGATATATCTCAAATCAGTTGATGCTTCATCTCGTGCCGACGATGCCTATCACCTAGTTGATTTGCTTGATTCAGTTATAAGGGAGATTGGTGAAGAAAATGTTGTGCAAATCATAACAGATAATGCCACCAATTATGCTTGTGCTGCAGATCTCCTCTTAAAGAGATATCCTTCCTTGTTTTGGTCTCCATGTGCCTCATATTGCATTGAGAAGATGCTTGAGGATATTAGTGAGATGGAATGGGTTTGTGAAGTTTTGGAGGAGGCAAGGTCGGTCGCACGATATATATACAGTAATGAGTGGGTACTAAATATGATGAGAAAATTTACTGGGGGAAGGGAATTGATTCGCCCAAAACATACTAGATTTGTGATGAATTTTCTTTGCTTGAGATCCATTGTAGTTCATGAAGATGGCTTGAAGCATATGTTCTCTCATGCTGATTGGTTATCATCGGCCCACCATCGACGACCTGATTCACAAGCTATCAAATCATTGATTTATTTAGAGAGATTCTGGAAATCTGCTCATGAAGTTGTAAGTGTGTCAGAACCAATTGTAAAACTTTTGAGAATGGTGGATGGTGACATGCCATCTATGGGGTATATATATGAGGGCATAGAGAGGGCAAAGCTAGCAATCAGGATATTTTACAATGGTTGTGAAGGGAAATATATGCCTTTTTGGGAAATAATTGACAGGAGATGGAGCATTCAACATCATTCACATCTACCTGCAGCTGCAGCATTCCTTAACCCATCAGTACTCTATAATCCAAATTATAAGTTCGATAAGAATATAAGAAATGGATTTCATGCAGCAATGTGGAAGATGTTTTCAGAAGAGAAGGATAGGATTGAACTTACAAAGGAACAACCTATGTATTTAAATGCGCTAGGAGCTCTTGGGAGTGATTTTGCTACTTTGGGAAGAACATTGAACGCTCCTGGTAAGCCTTAGCTTCTTTTGTTTGATTGATCTTCGCTCATTAACTTTGTACTGATTTCTGTGTAACAACTCCTGTATGATTAATCCAGGTGATTGGTGGGCTGCATACGGTTATGAGGTACCAATGTTGCAAAAGGCTGCAATGAGGATACTTAACCAGCCATGCAGTTCATACTGGTGTAAATGGAACTGGAACACTTTTGATAACATTTATAACAGTAAGAGAAGTAAGATGGAACTGGAGAAGCTCGGCGACTTGGTTTTCGTGCACTGTAATCTAAGATTACAGGACATCGGTCGCAATCGAGAAGGTATATTCAAACCCGTAAATTATGATGAGATAGATGTTAGCTCTGATTGGCCGATAGAATCTGAATCTTCATCTCTTGTATTGGATGATTCATGGTTGTATAATCTTCCTCCTGAATGTAAAGGTTAGTAACATATGAATAGATTGAGAAACTTGAGTTGAAGAAGAAATCTCATGCTTGCACTATCATATTTAACCAATGAATGAATGTACAATTAGTGAATATTTTGACATTCATGCCCTGATGGTTTGTTATTTCGCTCGACTTGAATAACACAAACATTAGTGGGAATCTATTGACCCGCCCGATCATGATTTTCTTACAACAACAACAACATTATCAAGCCTTTATCCCACTATGTGGGGTCAGCTACATGAATCTTTTTTTATCTATTGTCCTGACAAGAGTCAAATTCTTATTTAAATCTAATAAAGAAAAATTATTTCTAATATTTTCTAACCAAGTTTTTTTAGGTCTACCTCTATATTTCTTAACATAGGTAAAATCTAATACATCTACTCTCCTAACTGGGTCATAAAAAGATCGACGTTTTATGTGACCAAACCAACGAAGGCGACTCTCTCTAATCTTATTTTCCATTTAGGCTACTCCAATCTTTTCATGTATATACTCGTTTTGAATTATATCTCTAAGAGTGAAGTCACTCATTCACTTGAGCATCATCATCTCTACAATTGTTAGCATAATTTTATGCTTTTCTTTTATTGTCTGACATTCTGCTTCATAAAGCATTGCAGATCTCACCATTATCTTATAGAAATTTTTCTTAAGTTTGAGGAGTACTTTTCTGTCAAACAACAGGCCCGATATATTCCTCCACTTCAACTATCCAAATTAAATTCAACTAATAATATCCCAATTTATTTTACCATCATTTTGAACAATAGACCTGAGATATCTAAAACATGCTCTTACTCATGAAGGAAAAAACTCCTCTCTTTTGGACTGATTGTTGGTGAGAAGGGATTCAAACCCCTTCACCATATTTCCTAATCTATTGTCTTATTTTTTTCCTAGCAATATGCCAAATTGTGGTGTCCACTTATACTATAATTGCTATATTTAATATTGAGAAATTTTGAGGTGTATAGTCTTCAATGAATGAATGATTTGATAATTTTTTCTCAAATTATTGTGTGTTGTCAGATGTGAATTATATGAATCTACTTTTGAGAGAATGCTTCTTATATTAGTGTGATGTATGCATAGCTTTAAATTGGTGATTTCTAATCATGCTTTTATCTAAACTTTTTTGTGAATGGTTTGTGTGATTGAGATCTTTGTCAATCTGTTATATACTGATTACACTTAAAATGAACTATTTTACATTACATTTGATAGACTTTGCATCATTTTGTGTTCCAAACTTTAGTATTTGAAACGAGGTCTTAAAATAATCCAACCAAACAGCCCCTAAGTGATTCTAGAATGTTCGCCTTTCTTATGTTAATGCTCTTAATTAAGCTACCATACACCTCTTATATTAAATTCTTAGGAAAAATTTTATACCAATACAAATATATTAAATTTCAATTACTTGTAATTTGTTTTATTTTGCATATAATTTTTTTTCTTTTACATAGTTTCATTTTTCACATTTTAAGAAAATAATGTTTTTTTTTTTTCTTATGGAGACAGTAATTTAGAATTTAAAAATATATCATTCGTTGCATCATCATGTGTTGGTTGTAATTCTGATTGTGCCTTTTGTGATGCGCTCTTTTATGCCAAATTTAGGAGACATTATTCTGTGCGGAGACAAGATGCAGAACGTCGCTCATAGACCAATTAGAATGTGTCACATCAGCGGTAACGAGCCGCAATACCGAACCAAGGGTGACGTGGCACATTATGATTGGTCTTCGAACAACATTTGGTGTCCGCACATAATAATTAATTCAAATTTAGAGCCCACATATTTTATATTCAGATTATTCAAAGCAATTGGCTGTAAAATAATTCAACAGTTTTCTCAGAAGATTACAGCATTGGAATTAAAAAAAAAATCTTATTTGTTTGAAAATAAGGTAAGTCTTAAAATTTAGTAATATTTTTAGATAAATATTATAATTAAATTCACTTTTAGCTATTTTTTAATCTTCTAATTACACTTGTTGAGCACTTTCAATGAGTATTATAGTGTTCTTGTTATAATATTTAGTAAAACTGTTATTTAAAATTTGATAATATTATAAAAAATGATAATATTATTAATAGTCATAAACAAATTTATTGCAGTTTTTCTTTTGTAAATTGTGCTCAAAATTTGATATTTAATCATAATTTTTTCCAGTATTGATTCATTTTCATTCTAACATTTTAATGACCTAATTGAAATGAAAAAAAAAAATCTAAATTTATCTTAAATAAATAAAATGCAAAAATTGATTGATTAAATTTTAAGCAAAATTTAAAAAAAAAAACCTATTTTAATTAAATTTAAATAGATGCCCCTACCCTTCAATAATTATTCTATTTTCATCACTCCATTCCTTCTTCTCTTCATTTCTTGTCATCTTCCTAACATCAATTTCCAATTTATTTTCAATTTCCAATTTATTATTATTAAATTAATGAAAATCATTAAATTAATGAACTAATGTGGATTATTAAATCAATAACTCCATAAATCTACCGTCATCTCTTCATTAAAAAAAATATTATGGAAAATGACAAGAGAGTTAAGGGTAACAAGTGAAACAATTTAGGGGTCTTGAAAGCTATAGGACATGAATATATGAATGAAATGTGGGGCACATAATTGAATAATTAAAGTGTGATTATGTTGGATGCATGTGGTTATCTCAATATTGGAATATCATATCTTATATGCTTAGAGGATGTTAAACAGGGGCGGATCAAGCCTTAAATTTAAGCTGGGGCAAATTTATAAGTAAAAGTGTAGAGTTTTTTTTCCATAAATATCCTTCTAACCAAAATTTGTTGTGAGGGTGCTACCTCTCAACCCCTATTTGTTCATCGTTGTACGCTTCGCAGATATGTCGGGGGTCCAAGGGGGCAGCACCCCCTAGCGGGGTTCGATTCCCTAACAATAACAAATTTTGGTTGTAAGGATATTTTTGGATACTCTTTACTATTTCTCTTTATTTTTGGTTTATCGTTCCCTAATAATAATATCTCTACACAATGTGTTTAATTATGTTGGGGCAATTGCCTAAAGACCATAATTATTTAAAATTTTTAGTGGGGGAGGGGTCAATTACCTAAAAACTCTTGTAATAAAGACTAAAAAATACATGAAGGTGGAAAAATTACCTAAAGAATCATATAATAAAGAATTTTTAATTTTTTCAATGGAGCAATTAGCTATCTCAAACGAAGCCTAAGTGTTAATTACGACTTTTTTTTAACATTGATTTTGCGGATTTTTAAGTGTTAATTAGCACTTGTTTGTTAGCAAGCCGACGATCTTAAGTGTTAATTAGCACTTGTGATAATTTTCATTGACCAAGCTCAAATTCCTTCGGATCGGTCATCTTTGATTGATGCGGCTTATGATCAATTGGCTAGTCTCGACTTTGATTAAGCTAAAATTGAATTGGCTTGTCAACTTCGATTAAAGAGATCTCGTCTAGCGAAAGCAACTTCATATAACGAGGGTATATTATTCTCCTAGAGAATACTTTCTTATATGTAAATCTCATCTACTCCATCATCCATCTGATAAATTTTAATGCTATCTAGTGTTTTTCTCCTCAATGAATATTATATTATTTCTTCATGAGATAAGCTCTTGAATAAAGTTATTTCCCTATGCAATAAACTCATTAATACTTTTTTATATTCTCATTAAGACCTATGATATAAAGTAAGAAAATAACCTCCCTCCCTTAGAATAAAATATGATAGAAAAATTTTACATGCAATTCTAATAATAGATCATGACAAGATATAAAGACATGAAGGAGGCTAAAAATATTAATTTTCCTACCACAAAACAAAGTACAAAAGGTGATGGAGGCTAGCAATGTTTAGTCCCAAACCGCTTAGGCCAATTTTCCACAAGCCAAGTGTCAGTGAGCTGACTAATGACCATTTATTGCCTTGAAGCCTAAGACTTTTGGCCAAAGAGCAAAAATCATCTCACTCACCAATCTCAACAATTTCATTTGGAATAATTTTCTTACTATTTATTAAAATGATTTTTTTTAACAAAAATTTATGATTCTAAAAATATTTTATCTAAAAAATTACTTTAAAAAATAATAAGAAAATTATTCCAAACGAAAACCTACATGGAGCACAAATGAGCTCAAATTTTATATTTTTATTCGGCTCATTTATGATCCGAATAAAATGATCGTAATTTTATTCGGAAGTTGTATATAAATTCTAAATCGACATAAATATTGTCGCGTATATATCAGTATCTCTATACAAATATAAATATGATCGAGCTACAATCGAATTGAATAGGATCAAATGATGATTAACACATCATTGATAAATAAACAAAATATAAAAATGAGTCAAACTCGAGTTTTTTTTTTTTTGCTAGGAATAGATATTATATTAATAAAACAAAAACAAATGTTACATCAGTATAAAAAGAAAAGCTAGCAGAATAAAAGACTAAACAACAGAGAGAATTAGAAGGTAAAAGCGAGCTCATGAATTAGTCAAGGCTTCCACCATCCAGAACGTCCCGCACGGACCCTCCAGTAAGGCAAGATAGCGTCCCAACGATCCATCCCGAAAATCCACACCTACGATTGCCACCAGCAAAAAACGACCGGGACGCGAGCCCCGACCACATCATTGCTCTTAGCATCACGTAGCAGCAAATCGAATAGTAAAGCCGACAAATCCCGAGACGAACCAGCAAGAAGAAACAAAATAACGAAACGAAAATTCATCTTCTGAATCGACCTCTCCCCCAAAATTTTCCGCGAGTGCCAACATTTGAAGTACGCACAAGAGCAAAATCATGGTCGGACTCGAGAGTCTCTGAATTCGATTCAACATCCGACGAATCAACCAACCAATTACTCTGATTCCTAATATTCAAACCAGAGGAATTACTCACATAGTTAGCCATCACTTGGGTATCACCTCACTTACAAAGACCTCAACTAAACTGTTGGTAATCGAAATAACTTCTTCTCTACCCAGAGACGGAAACTCCTTCTCAATTTCAGCCGGCACCACCGCAACATGCATAAAACCATCAGAACCATCATCTGCATCCTTTAAAACTTGAACACCCCCATTAGAGTTCACAACACCCATAACTGGCGAGCCATCAGAATTCACCACATTCATCGCACCAGAAACCACCTCCGGCACCATCGCCAGAGAATCAGGGTCTCTAACAGCAGTCACAACTTGAGGTACAAAAGACGGAGCTGCATTGGGGGATAGGACAGAAAAGTTACCAACGCGACCACCAGGCACATCATTCGCAGCATTAACCAAATCAACCACATTCATAAGGGGTATAATGACGGACAGGTTAGAAGTAACCAAAGACTCCATAATCTCAGAAATTCCGCTCACAGGCAGCGGTCGATCCCCATGATCAGAAACAGGAAGTTCGCAAGGAATTTCTGCAACCTGCGCCTCATCAGCGACCAAAGAATTGACAATAACACAATTATTCGCATTATCTACAGTCTTAACCGCATTCTCACGAGATTGAGGACCATTCAAAGTAGCAGAAATATTACCACATTCCCTCTTGTAATGACCAAGCCGTTTACACAAAACACAATAAGCAGGCACCTCCTCGAAACGAACCCGTTGAACATACCCAAAATTCTCCGAACCAAGCCAAATTTTATCAGGAAGATCCTTAGTAATGTCAAGCTCCACCAGGACCCTCGCCACAGAAGGTCTAGACCCGACAGAGGTTGAATTATCAACTTTTAATGGACGACCAAACATCGAAGCCAAGGCATGGAGGATACGAGGGGCAAAAAGGTGTGGTCGCAGATTGGGAAAGGCAACCCAAATAGGAATTACCGGAGACTCAACCCTGACATCAAGATCCGACGACCATTTAGTAAGTTTGAAAAATTAAGCAGTTATTAACCATATAAGATATATGGCAGAACACTCTACTATAATCCAAATCATTAGAAAGCTTAATAAGAATATGAGATTGATCCAGAACAGTTACAGAGAATTTAGCATTCAGTTTCAAGCTGAAAAAAAATTTCCGGATTGCATCTAGTGAAGGACGACGCGTAGGAAAGAAACCGACAAGAGCAAATTGAAAAGGAATAGACAGAGCTAAAATTTCTTCCTCCGATATCCATAAAGAGGGTAAACCACGACAAAAACCCTTTCTTAACTCAGGAAAATCAACTGAAACCGAAGAACCAGATAAAGCTTCCACAAAAGAGCGCGATTTAAAGGACCCATCCAAAAACCCGGGGTCACAAACACGACTAACCACCATAACGGAAAGAAAAAACGAAGGCAGAAATAGAAGAAGGCAAACAAAGAGAAACTCCCTGGAGAACAGCAATCCGAAGCCAAGATCCCAGCCCAAGGAAAGCTAGGGCAAAGCCCTAGCGGTGCGGAGACGGTGCCCTAGCATCGCAAAAAGTTTCAAGTGAAGTTTTGAGTTGTTGAGTCAAACTCGAGTTAATCATCAAACCAAATAGGATAAAAAAGATAATTATTTCTTTTTAATCTATGAAAAACAAAAGCTGTGATGGTGACGCATTAATTAATAGCCTTTTTATTCATCAAATTCAGTATATAAAAGGCTACTTAATGAATCGTTAATCTACAATTAAGATTTAAAAACACTGTAATTAAAACAATAATATGATTATGAGGAGCTCTTAATTAACTTGTGTGTTCCTTTCCTAACAGACAGTTGCAAGGGGGATTAAAAAATTTAAGGAATCTTATTATGAAACTTAAACAAACAGGTTCATCTCTTTAGCAAGCTGACAGTCTTAATTAAGTTGATCCGTGTAAGAGAAGAGGAATAAATCATCCATGCAAACGACAAATATATTAAGGAAAAATAATTTTCATGGCATCATATATATATATATATATATATATATATTTGTTGTGTGTTAGAAAATTCACTACGATGAAGATAAGGTGTTTAACATTTTAATTTTATGTGAAGATCCATCACAATAAGAAGAGGTTCAAGAAACACTATTATTTTTACGTACATGGAAATCTTAGCACGACAAAATATTTAGTCTAGTCCGATTAAAATGATTCTACTAATGTATATGGTCGACTATAATGAAATCCTTCTTCTTAATTGAGAAAGATACTCATACAATATTGCATATATATATATGAACAATAGAGAATGAATTCAAAAATGGAAATTGGAGGAAACTTAAGGTGGTGTTGGATTGTCTTTAAGAGATTGTTCGTGGTTTGCTCAATCATTAATTCTCTTTTAAGGAGAGAAGGTCAGAAACTAAGATGTAGTCTAAATAATGGTTTTCACACCGGGGATTGAAGTTAGTGTCAATTGTATGCATCAACTTCATATGCAATAGTATCTGTTGATAATACATATCAATGTTGGTAGTGATGGCAGTCAACAAATTAAGGGCATTTATACTAGTGTTGACAACATGTACCGGCCCTATAAGTGATATAGTGTATTACCATTGGTGGAGACTATGGGTGATAAAGACAACATGCATTTGTGTTGGTACTGATGATCATGTATCACATTCTAGACAATGGCATACATCAACATTGTTTGAGACTTCATTGCTTTTAATTCATCATCGACATTAATGATGCACAGAATCGTCTAAGGTCAATGCTAATACTGATGTCCAATTACTTTTGTCACCTGGCATAGCCATCAATGTTAACATGCACCATCACCTATAAGACATGCATATTATTAAAATCAACAAAAACATATGTTGACTTCATCGCCCACTATCAACACCAATATTTAGACATGCTGTCGCCTATAAAAACATATGTTTGCAATCAACATTGATATCAATGCTTCCTAACTTCATCGTCATCACTGTCGTCGCATATCATTACTACAAAGTTGATTCATGTTGTGATCAAAACCAACATCAATTTCAGTGCTAGCTCTACCTAACCACCTACTACTATAATGTTTAGAATGTTAGATAGTGAATCACTCAATCATTTTTTAATGAATAGAGAAATTTAGAGGCACGTGTCAAATTAATTTATACCAAGATGAGTGGGATGAATGATAAATATCCTATATACTATAAGAGAAAAAAAAAAAGGAATAGAATTATTTCTTTTATATTTTAATAGATTTCGTCTATGTTCTTAAGTTCATTTTTGCTTTTTATAAATTAATTATCTCTCATTCTTATAAAAAAAATTGCTACAAAGCATATCCTATATACTATAAGAGAAAAAAAAAAAGGAATAGAATTATTTCTTTTATATTTTAATAGATTTCGTCTATGTTCTTAAGTTCATTTTTGCTTTTTATAAATTAATTATCTCTCATTCTTATAAAAAAAAATTGCTACAAAGCCTTTCTAGTATTAAAATGAACCAACTATTGGTTCTGTGCAGACGCCAAACGCCGTTTGAAGATTAACCAGACTGAGGCACATCGGTACAATGGCTCGGTACCATTTGGTACTGCACTCGATATCACTGACGTGGCTCATTCTGATTAGTCTCCAGATATAGAGTTGTGTTTAGCATCCGCACAAAATAATTTCTCAAAGCAGTACTGATCTCTCCTGGCTGTGTGGGGCCGGCTCCTCAATTTCTTATTAAAAAAAACTTTTGGAAGCAAACCCTAACTAATTTATACAGCAATCTTATGTATATAAAGAGAAAAAAAAATAAAAAAATAATTTAAAAATAAAAAAATGAAAATTGTATATAAAGAGACAAAAATAAATAAATAAAATGTATATAAAGAGACCCTATATATTGCATATATATAGCCTGTATTGCAGGCAAGTCGCCGGTCATGATGTCCGCTTGCGAAGAACAAAAGATGAAGAAGCAGGCAAGAAAGGGTGACAGCCGCAGCGGCTTCGTCGGCGTGAGGCAAAGGCCGTCAGGGCGGTGGGTGGCGGAGATAAAGGATTCATCGCAACGTATCAGACTATGGCTCGGCACATTCGACACGGCGGAGGAAGCGGCGCGAGCCTACGATGAGGCTGCGCGAGCTTTACGTGGCGATAACACACGCACAAACTTCACAGCAGGAGGTAGCGGCGGTGTTGGAAGCATTGGGTGGCCGGAGTACTGCTACCAAGCCGATCATCTCTCTATGACGGCGAAGGCGAGGCTGAGTAGGAGCATAAGGGGGATGGTGGAGAGGTCGGCGGCACAGAGGCGGTCGACGAGGGTGAGCGACCACCACACCATGGCTAGGATCTTCCACCCACAAAGGATGTTGAGCGTGGAGTTCGCCGGAGGAGGAGAAGTGGGGGAGGATGAGAAGACATGGCCATGGGAGTTTGGATTGGATTTAGCCATGGCGGAAATAGAGGGTGGATTGGAAGAGGAAAAGGTAGATCAAAAAGTTAAGAGGTTTAAGGTATCTTCTTCGGTCATCGTTCCACCTTCTTTCAGTTCATCTGCATCAGCAGCGACGGCGACGACGGTGGAGAAGATAAGCTAACTGTGTAGGTCTGCAAGATAAGATGCTTCCATGCAAAGTATCAAAAATCCTTCTTTTTTAAAGTATAGCTTAGTCTGCTTCTAAATATAAATCATGAAACTTAACTGAACTTTGAATGGGAACTTTGTTAAGGTAGCTTCTGAAATTATTCTCTGGATATGTCAGATAGCTTTCTCTTTCTCTTTTCAGATCGATTCAGAGAAGCAAACTAAATAGGTTTAGTTATTTTTTGCTTGAAACTGCTGAAAGAAAGAACTATTGATTTTCAGATAAAGCATAGTTATGGATTAGGAATACGTGCGGTATCAAATTTCATGAAGAAGAAGAACTATTTACGTAATCTTTGTTTTAAAATTGGGCGACTTGGTAATCACAAGTAGTCATAATAACTATTATAAGTGCGACAAAAGAAGAGTGAAAATTATGGCATTTGCTTATACTCGAATCGAACGACTCGATGAGACGAATCCAACGAGCCCAAGATCGCCGAATTCCGACATCATTAAGGCCTTCAAATGTTCAACGAACGGTACACAATCGTAGGATTCAATATCGGCCGTCCATTTGACCACTCCCTATTTGCCCCTGATCTCACGCCTATTTACGGACCATGCCACTCAAGAAAATCTATAAATAGAGCCCTCATTCTTCACAAGAGGGGGGTCCAAGCAAGAAGAGAAGAGGAGAAGAGGGGGAAGAGGAGGAAGAAGCTCCTCCTCGACCACCACCGGAACCTCGCCGGAGCCTCGCCGGACCATCGCCGGAGCCTCGCCGGACCACCGCCGTAGTTTCGCCGCACCACCATCTCAAGGCCCGACGTTTAGGCCCGATGTTCAGGCCCGACGTTCTACTAAAGGTCCGACGTTCAGTCCCTACGCTCCGCTGAAGACCCGACGTCCTGCTACAGTACAGTCCAGGCCCGACGTTTCTAGTCGAGCCCAGTTCTACGTCCTGCTGCCACGTCCTGCTTAAGGCGCTATAGCGACCGTTCAGGCTGACCTATTAAAGTCCCACGTTCAGTCCCTACGTCCTGCTGAAGACCCGACGTCCTGCTTAAAGGGCCGACATTCAGTCCCTACGTCCTGCTGAAGACCCGCATCCTGCTTAAGGACCGACGTCCAATCCCTACGTCCTGCTAAAGACCGATCGTCCCTGCTTAGCCCTTGACGTCAGCTAAAGACCGACGTCCTGCTTAAGGGCCCGACTGTTCACGTCCCTACGCTGCTGAAGACCCGACATCCTGCTTTAAGGCCGACGTCCAGTCCCTAGTCCTGCTGAAGATGCGACGTCCTGCTTAGCCTGACGTTCAGCTAAAGACCGACGTCCGCTTAAGCGCCCGACGTCCAGCCTACGTACGTCCTGCTGAAACCCGACGTCCTGCTTAAGGCCCGACGTTCTGCTAAAGACCCGACTCTGCTTAAGGCCGACGTCCAGTCCCTACACTCTGTTGAAGACCGACGTCACGCTTAAGGCCGACGTTCAGTCCCTACGTCCTGCTGAAGAAACCCGACATCCTGCTTAAGGCCCGACGTCAGTCCCTACGTCTTGCTGAAGACCCGACGTCTCTGCTTAAGCGCGACGTTCCTGCTGAAGACCTGACGTCCTGCTTAAGGCCCGACGTTCAGTCCCTACGTCCTGCTGAAGACCCGACGTCCTGCTTAAGGCCTGACGTTCAGTCCCTACGTCCTGCTGAAGACCCGACGTCCTGCTTAAGGCCCGACGTTCAGTCCCTACGTCCTGCTGAAGACCCGACGTCCTGCTTAAGGCCCGACGTCCAGTCCCTACGTCCTGCTGAAGACCCGACGTCCTGCTTAAAGCCCAACATTCAGACCCCGGTCTCCTGCCTACTACGGTCTTCCCGACCTCCGCCGCCTACTATGGTCCTTTCGACCTCCATCAACATTCAAATGTCTTTCAGACCCCAGTCTCCTGCCGACTACGGTCTTCCCGACATCCGTCGCCTACTACGGTCCGTCCGACCAACATCACCAAACAACGGTCTTTCAGACCCCAATCTCCTGCCGACTACGGTCTTCCCGACCTCCGTCGCCTACTACGGTTTGTCCGACCAACATCACCAAACAACAGTCTTTCTGACCCCGGTCTCCTGCCGACTACGGTCCTTCCGACCAAACGAACTTGTATATGTCACTCCTACCATGTAATGCAATCTATATGATGTATATTTGCTACATCAATCCAAGGCCTTCTCCCAAGGAAGGGCCTCATTTGTAATCGACTACAAATACTAGTTGATTCATTCAAACTGGGCTTGGCCCCGTGGTTTTTCCCCCTTTCAGGGGTTTTCCACGTAAAAAACTCTAGTGTCTCTTATGAATGCTACACCCTCTCACTTATCTAATTGTGTGCTGGATCTTCGTACAATACTAAGACATTAAACCATATTTCTCTACCGCCGCGAAGACTCCAGGACGCAACAATGATGAAAATAAAAAAAATAAAAAAGATGCATGAATTTATAAAGCAAGAAGATTTATGTTTCATTTGAGATAGTTTTTTGTCGTTATTTTTTCATAATTTTCAAGAAACTGTTGTGCTAAGAAATTGTTATAGAAGCCATACTGGAAAAGGAATTTTTATTTTAATCACGTGCTTTTTGCTTATTTGAATTTGATTTGTATAGACTTACAATATTTATCAAATAAATTTAATTGTTATTGTTGCGTCTTGAAACATTCGCGTCGGCAGGGAAACATAGAGTTTAGCGTTCTAAATTCGTACGAAGATCCAGCACACAGATAAATAAGATATAGAGATGCATAATTTATAAGAGGCACCAAAATTTTTACGTGGAAACCTCTAAAAGAGGAAAAAATATGGGGTCTTGCCCAGTTAAAAATGAATCAACTAGTGTTTGTCATTGATTACAAATGATGTCCTTCATCGGTGGGCAACAGAGGTCGAAGGATCATAACGGCGAGCGACGGAGGCAGAGGATTGTAGTCGGGGGACAACGAAGTTTAAAGGCACCCTAATCGATGGGCAACAGAGGTAAGAGAGACCAGATTCGACAGGAAATGGTGATCGGAATGCATGTAGTTATTGAACGATGAAAATCAGAATGATCATAGTCGGGTGACGGTTGTCGGAGAGACCGTAGTTTGCGGGCTACGGAGGTCTGAAGGACAGCAGTTGTCAAGCGATGGTGGTCGGAGGGAGAGTCAACAGTGGTGGTCGGACTCAGACATAGGCGTGATGACGATGGCCGAACGGAGGTCTAGAAGTAGTGGTCGAACGTCGAGGGTTTGCCGGTGATTGTGTCGGGGTGGAGCTGCATGATTTTTAAAGACTAAGAGCTCTCTTGAGTCTCTAGCTCATGATTTTTAAGCCCCTTTCAGTGAGAAGTGAGATCAATTTATAGATTTTTACAGTGCCATGATCCGTAAATATGAAAAAGATCAATGACAAATTCGAAGTGCTCCATCGATATCATCGAACGACCCGTATCGATTCCGATCCTTCAATCATAAAGTGTTCATATAGCATTCAAGTGTCTTAATAATGTCTGAGTTAAGCGACCTTGGGCTCGTTGGATTCATCTCGTCGAGCCGCTTGATTTGTCTATAAGCCTACCATATTCAGAGATTAGTTGGTCATCCAATTAATGCTTTGAACCTTCCAAATATGTTTCTGTACATTGATTGGGCTCATTTGAGCTCATATTGAACCAATTTTAGGATCGTTGGTTTCGTATCACCGAGACTTTTAATTTGATTATAAATTAGTTGAAATTAAAGTTTAGATGGTCCCAAATTTAATTTTGAAAGTTTCTAAATTGAATATGACTCAAGATTCATACTATATCAATGAGATTTTTTGGTGACAATTCAGTTTATAAAATTCCTTAACAAATTTGAGTTAAAATATTCTGATCCCTTTTTTTTTTAGGAAAGAAAAATGATGAATAACTTTCTAAAAAATAAATGGTATTTAATTCTCAACTGATTAATGAATCAGTCATTATCAAGATTTCGTTTCGTGTAAAGCAATATATCAGTGCGACAATCACAACATTTTGTTGGCTAGCAACTCAAGTCGATTAGTGGTCATTATAATAACATATGTTCAATATTTTCTTGACAATATTTATATTTTGATTTGATATTAATTTGGCTTCACTCAAAAGATTCTCATATAAAGTTCAATTTGTTAATTGATCCAATGCCCAATGACCTCAAATTGACTTGATTGTAGAGGTGTCAATTCGGGTCAACCTGTCGGTTTCGGGTCGAACCCGACCCGACACGGATCTAAACGGGTCAACCCGAACCCGACCCTTTTGCAAAAACGGGTCAGGCATTTCAACCCGGACCTGACCCGGCCGGGTTGACCCGACTCGACCCGCGACCCGGCA